AATATATTGCCTCTCCATATTTTATCTAAAACATACTTTATTTTATTTAACTGCAATGATGAAAATTTGTATATTTTTGGAAGATCCATAGAGAAAACTACTTTAATCTTTCAGCTCACTAAACTGAGAACCCTTATTTGTAAACATTGGTAAATAATGGTTGGGGATGGGCCAGACTGAAGGCTGAAGGTAAAAGTCAGGAGCCAGCAGCCTCTTTTGAGTCTAAAAAGTGAGTGCAGGTATCCTAGCACCAGAATCATCTACTGCTGTTTTCCCAAGTACATTAGCAGGGAGTTGAATCAGATGTGGAGCAGCTGGGATTTGATTCAGTGCCCATGGGATGCTGGTGTTACAACTGGCAGCTTTATCTACTATAAAATAATGGAATCCCTATCCTAAATAATTTTCTTTGCAATATATATGTATTTAAAGGGACAGGGGTAGGAGAGTCTGACAGAGATGGCAAGCCCTCTCATCCATTGTTTCACTTCCCACATGGATGCATTGGTTGGAGTTAGGCCAGGTGGAAGCCAGGAACCAGGAGCTTCTTCCAGATTCCCCAGGTAGATACAGCAGTCCAAGCATTTGGGCAATCTTCTCCTACTTTCCCAGGCCATTAACAGGGAACTGGATCAGATTTAGAGCAGCCTGGACTGGAACTAACACTTGTGTGAGATATCAGTGCTGTAGGTGGTGTCTCAAACTGATATACTACAATGCCGCCCCCTAAATGATTCTTGACGCCGTTAGAGCGCTTGTTTTTTCATCATTGTTTTGACCTATTCTTTGATCTCTGTACAATGTTTTGATTTCATCCAGCTGAACTGAGACGTGATTAAGCACTTGCTGGAGTGCTTTGAACCTGCAACTAAATTTCTGGAGTATGAATCATATTTTACTAGCTGAGTCACTTTGAATACATTTCTCTTGCAATTGCTAAACTTGCCCTTAAATGAAATGAGAACGAGCATAATATCTCTTTGTAAGCTGTTAAAATTATTCATATAACATAGGATAACTACTTGATAAATGGCAACCATATTTATTCATAAGGTCCTGAACTGATCATAATCCTCCCAAAGACAAAGTCCTATTTGTGAAGTTTATTGTATCAGCACTGGCAAGTTTCCCCAATAACAAGTGGATCTGTAGTATTTGGCCTGCCTCTGGATGTACCTCAAAGTCCTGTATTCTGTGTATTTACCAGGTGTCATCAAATGTGACTGATTAAGTTCTTTTATGCTGCTATTCCACCCCAGTGAAACTTCATCTCCTGATAGTTTTGGGGATATTATCAAATTGCTTGCTGAGCCTGTCTTGTTTCTAGATTCTGCTCATTTTCCACTTGGTGGAGTCCACTTTTACAAGTCCCAAAGAGTGGCAGTTAATCAAATACTGATCCTTATTCTGAGGATATACTCATCTTTTTTACATTTCTCAACTACTAACTGGCATACTTAGAAAGTTATTTTAGTTAATGTCATCTTTTATATTCTAAGTGTGTTTTTAGTTGAACCTCATGGGTTACTGAATTGCAGGAATATGCTGAAATATGTGCTAATTACCAAGTCCTATGTTAGTGGTGTGGAGTAACACACTATCTTAAACAGCTGTTATTGCAAAAAGGGATGAGAGGACAAAGCACAGCACCCAGATGCTCACAAATGCCCTTGATAATGATGATTAACTTCGCATTCCTTGTGGTTTACTCTCACTGAAATATACCAGTTAAACCATTTGCAGCAATCATCTGAACCGCATATAAACAACCATATGAATTGGGATATGGAAACAAAATATAGGAAACAAGGTTAGTAAAGGCAATGTTTTTGTTTAAATTCTAGTATAAGAAATACCAGCAGTTGATTGTTTTCATTTTGCTGTGTTGGTAAATATGGAATTAAAAATTATTTATTGGAGTATAGGTGTACAACTTGGATACAAAAGGTACCAGACAAAGCTAGTGATCTGGCATACTAAAACTGTACATAAACTCTCCAAGTTTTAGACTATCTTAATATGTTTATGAGATGGCCAGCTGAAACAAGCCCTAACAATTAAACTCAGCTCAAGTCTATTTGAGTCAGCAATTTGAAGGAAACTAGGACAACAGTTAGAGAAACTGCAACAAATGCTCCCAAAAGTTCATCTCTGTTCTTTTCCAAGATTAAAATGACAATGGGCAGCAAAACATTGGCTCATGTGGGAGAAATCTTGTGGGTAATGCAGCAGCTATTCCTTCTGGTAGTAAGCCTCCCTAGAAATCACCTTCCTGAATGTTTAAAGAGTGACTTTAGCTAACATGCCCAGGAAAAACAAAAATATTCTTTACATCTGTATTTCAGGTTAAGTGATATCTCTGATTAAAATTCCAGCTTTGGAAATGATTAGCTGTCTAGAAACTTATAGAAATTCAGTAACATGATTTGACAAAGGTAAACTTCAATGTAATTGGATAAAATTCATTTTTTTCCATGTTTGGCTGTTGCAGGTCAGTTAGGGTTCTACAGCACAGAGTAAAATATTTTATGTGATAAATTTACTAGAGCATCTGATCAGACAACACAAACAATGTGCATGTCCATATATGCTTAATTAAAAGGAAAGTAGTATTGTGGATTCTGAAAAACAAGAAAAGGGCTCTTCAGGCTCTACATAACCAGTAAGGACAAGGAAAAGAAATGCATTTTCAAAGAATTATAACTGTACTTTTTCCTTTATTCTAATGCATTACTTTTTTTTTACATAGTCATAATTTGAGTTGGATAAGAACATGTTACTTACTGACACATTTGTTTTTGATACCTAAAGCTCTCAGAATCAACTTAAAGGAAGATTCCAGAAAATTGTGTCAATGTTTTGCTGACAAAAGGCACCTCCATATAACTAACTGTAGAAATCAACAGACATATTCTTTAGAACATTAAATGAAAGCATTAGAAAATATAATGACAGTACTCTGTACATAACCCTATAGGTCCTACTACTGAACACCTAAAGTGTTTGATATCCTAAACTAAAATTTGCCACACTGTGTTAACACCTGGAAAATGCTAAGATTTCAAAGAATCAAAACTGCTTTTCATAGTAGTCACACACGGGATTCCTCCCACCTGGTACTTTCTTTCCTCTGAATTCCTACACCTTCATTATCTCTCTGAATATTCATTAATAAAAGCAGATTGCTGAGGGAAGGGAAGGAAGAAGAAAGAGCAGTAGCCTTGTAAACTGTTTCATTTTTAAATAATGCAAAATCCCATATCCTTAGTAGTACCAGAAGCTGGCAGACTAATAGGTATTCATAAGAGACTATTCATATACACACACAAATACCTGTGTGTAACATAAGCAGTATTTAATGGAATATTTTCTTTTACTTTTCTTCATTTGCATGTTTAAAAAGTACTGATATCTTCAAGATCTTGGAAATAAAAATAAAGAACCAAGAAGCCAATGTGACCTCAAATTTCTAGGACTAACGGTAAGGGAAAGAGATCAGCACCTTTCACTCAGGGGAAATGTCTCTTTATAAACTTTATGTTGTTTCACTTTATAACTCGGACAAGTATTTACATAATGTTAGTTATCTATGGTACGCCTACAAATTAGTAGTTACATCCATGTTCACAGAATAAACTAAAGTTGAAGAAGAGATATTCAGTCCTACTTTAAGTCACATAAAATGGCACAGGCATGTTTTAAGGGGAAGGAAACATAGAAACCTATTTACTGTTAATGTTGGCATATTATTTTTCCCTGGATGAATAATGACCTATATGTCTCATAGGTGTATTGGAGAAGAGATGGGAAAAAAAAAAAAGATTATGGTGTGGGAAGGCTCATGAGCAATGTGTTGGAAGGTGTCCACACAACTTGAGTGTTTGTGCTTTTGCTTTTACGGGCATAACTGCAGCTGAACAGTCATTAGGCGCTGTGTGGTGGTTTGTCTGTTCCAGCAGCATTACTCACCTTCAGGTCCCGATGGACTACGCCCATCTGATGGCAGTGTAGCACAGCCTCCAGGATCTGCTGAATGCAATGACTGCATGCAAACACCAGGGGGCGTGTGTTAGTTCCAAGCTTACACTCACTGTCTGTACACCCTCAGAGACTGGGTCAAAGCGTAGAGCTAGCAGACAACTGGAGTTTGTGTTTTATCACCTTCAATAATGTAAACATATTGCTCAAGGAGAGTGACTACTACCTTAGAACAATCTGGATCTTGCAAGATGTAAATCAGAATGTGGATCCGCTTGTTCTAGAAACATCCAGTTTGAAAGGCTTTCATTTCATTCAGGAGCTCATTTCCTGGTTATAAATTCTCCCAGGAAATGAACTGCAATACAAAACACAATCTTTATAGCCATTGCGTTCCAGTTCTAGCCTATACACAAAAACTATTTTCCTGTTCTCTCCCATTTTTTCTGTATCATTCTAAAAGCTGTCACATTAGCAGTCAAGGCATCATTAAGGTTAATTTAGGATACATAATGAATTTTTGATAAATCATTAACTTCTTGTGTTTTAATTTAGTCTGCAATTATTATCTCTCGCCTCAGGGGTCATCAGACTCAAATGGCACAATGTGTAACCAGTTGTTCTGCGACAGCAACCCATGGTCTCAGAACAGAAGTGGTGTTGAAATCTACAGGCGGACATACATCACTAGCCAAGGTTCTCTCCAGACAATTGCTGGACAACTGAGGAAAATCTACCCCACCCCCATCCCAAACCCCCTGGCAGTTTACTCCTTGGAAATTTAACAACTTGCATTCTGAATATTGTACTTCCTTTTTTGCTATGATGTATATTTAGCCTGTAGATGAGCAAACTGAAAGAGGCACCATGCATTATCATTTCATCATTTTCTCATTTTAGGAAACAACTGGGAAAGGCAAGGGCATCATGATTTAAATACCCACCCTCAGCCCTTTCCCCAGAAAAAACAAACAAACAAGAGCACCTCCTTTGATTCAGATTTATGGACATCATATACTGACCTTCAGGTCCCTGTGGACTATGCCATTTAGGTGACAATGATTTACACTTTCTAGAATCTGCTGTATACAATGACTGCAAAGATACAAGGGTAGAATGGAAGGGAGAACATTTTAAAGGCACATAATCACATGGAATACAAAATAAAATGAAAGCTCAAATGCAACAAATGAACAAACAAAAATTGCCTTTCTTTACATTTTTTTAAAACTGCAATCAAATAATGCTGAATGAAGCTAATTCTGATTCTAACAAAAATAACATACAACACAGAATTTGTGACATATTCAAACAAAACAATTTGAGCTGTGTTTTTTCATTGTAGGTCACAAATTAAGTCATTGGTATATAATAATTGAAATTTCAATATTCAGAAAGAAAAAAATTTTAAATACTTCCAATGATTATTTTGGAAAAATGCCCAGACATATAAAATGTCCACGTATTTTTTAAGACACATCAAAACTGTTTCAAATCTGAGGTCACAATCATGGTTGTGAAGCAAAAGGGCGCACACAGATGAGCGGCAGAGGACGTAGGGGGTTGACACAAGGAGGGGCACAGTTACTCTCTGACATAGAGTGGAGAATGTATTACTTGGAAAACAAATGCAAGTTTCCAACAACAAAGGGAGAATTGCAAAGAAGTGAATAATACAAGGTAAATCCCTCTTCAGTATCTGAATACTCTGGGAAAGGGCTGGGAATCTTGTAAAATTTCAAAATTAAGAAAAATTGTTTTAATTCCATGATACACTGGTAATTACTAAATCCATTTCCATGCACTTTAGTGAAGAAAAAAACCTTAACTTGCTTCCATATAAAAATGTGTAACTTAAGCTTGTTTTTTTAAACCAAAGTCCCACTGATGTCAAATTTAACGGTATTTTAGAAGATTCATAGAAAAGCAAGATTAAAGATGAGTTTATTTTGGTGCATAAAAGTGCTAAAATCCCTCTTCTTTTCTTTTTCAATTATATGCATTTTGCACAAACTTTTTGAAAACATACATTACTAATTAAAGTACAGAAAATTCTGATTGGCACCTTAAGGGTCCATGATCTTTCATCTGACAAACAATAATACAGAACATACCCACCAGTGGATTTTTTTAAAAGTTCACTGTGAAATTCAATTGTAACCTTGTATAGAACTACTTTTATTAATTTCAGGACAAAGCAAGCATTATAACACAGACATGTCTAACAATTTATGTACAAAATGTTATTCTTAGGAAATTTTTTTGCTCAAAATATAGTCATCATCTAATTGATTACAATGTAAATATCAAAAACTCGATTGTAGTCTTTTAGTACTAACTCTATTAACAATATCATTAAAGAGCCCATCTTCGGTTGTTATTGGCTACAAAGCTTATTTGAATATTAGCCATTATTTTTTAACCATATGACTCTCATCCTTTTATAATGATGTTCATTTTCAACTACTTTTCACAAATATTTCCCTTCCTCCTCTCAAACCACAAGCAGCAAGCAGTGCGCCTAGGCAATAACTGAAATTAAAGGTACAAACAATAATCCGTATTAAATGAACCTCATTACTTTTTACTATTGAGGATGGATGCAATTCTTACATTCTTGAAGACATGTAAAAAAGCATACTTTTACAACATTTTTTGAGAAATATATTTTTTATGCTAGTAGTTGAAAAGAGAATGGTCCTTCTCCCTGGCTTTGTGTAAGACCTATCTAAAAAATATCCCATAGCTAATTTCCCAACTTGACATAAGCACACATATTAAGTTACTTTACCCATGAGTTCAGTCAAATTGTTTTTAGAGCTATTCAGCAGTGAAAAACAGTCTGTATTTCAATGTAAGTCAATATTTTAAAAATATATGAACAGCCTGTTTAAGGCCAAATAAATTATATCTGATTTGTTACTGTACTAATTAAAAAAAAAAAACTCAGCAAGTGAGAACAAGCAAGGGCAAGACAAATATCAAATTCTAGGGTGCTCTGTGATTCCTTTTCTGGGATCTACTGTGAAAATTTCAAGTCAATTGAACAACCAATGATTTGCATTTCATAATATAAATGACAAACATTAAAGTGGAATCATATATAGACAAATTAGCAGAAGTGACTCTACGTACACATGTGCTGCTTTGAGGGGAGTACATGCTGCTTGTCAACTGAGGCCAGGTTTGGGGGCGGGGAGTGCAACCATTGGCAAGTTCTGAAAGCCTTAGAGAATGGCTAGCAGAGTAATGGCATTCTCATAACATCTCACTTCAATCACTAATGAGCTATTTAATCTGGATTAACCTTTTCAAATTGCAGCATATATATATATATATATTTTTTTCTCACACACACATATATATATGATGTTGAGGAAAATGATATCTAAGTAAGCAGATTACTCTTACTTCACTCCAAAAATACTATATTAGTGGTGCCTAGAAAGTTTCAAATTGGACAACATATTAGCCTTAAAAAATGTGAATATTTTCTGCCAATTAGCAGAAATAATTACTGAACTCTCCGAAATGTCTGAATAAATATTTTTCATGTCAGAGTTCCAAGATTTTAATGACATTTAAGAAGACCATTCAATCTCTTTTTCAATATATTTTGCTATTTTCTGAATAGACATGTGCTGCTCAGTAGAATTTTCTGGGAGGACAGAAACACTCCCAAAGAGCATTTATAAACTACTTATAGCTATTAAGCACTCGAATTGTAAACACAAAAAACAGATCACATCACAGACTTTTTTCCCTCTGAGAATCATTCTGGAGATCCTGAAAAGAGACAAATATTAACTAATCATGAAAAGAAGCCAATGATTTTATGAGGTTCTCATAAATATTTTCATGAGAATTTTAAAGAGGCATACCCAACAAATGTCATTTGAATGTTGACTCTTGAACTTGTGTAAGGTCAATTACTTACCTGGCGTCGGCTTCACTGTAATATTCTCTTGCCACTATGTCTTCAAAAAGTTCACCCCCAGTAACCCTGTGGAGACAAATATGATAGTCATATAAAAGGAGGGGGGAAATCAGGCCTCAATAAGTTTACAGCTAGTATTCATTTAGAATTTCTTTGTAGATTTTAACATTACCAAAACAAGTTATTCTTAAACTACCACACGAGTCAGTTTTCATTTGTAGTCAAATCTATGTTATTAATCTCAACATTTTTTTTTTACTTTGAATGACTAGATCAGAGAATCACTATTTTCTGTATTCCATAAATATATTTGCTAATTTCTTTGTAGAAAATAGCTTCCATAAAAGTCTTCCTTTAAATTTTATAAATATAAAGTAAAATGACAAAACGGATGCACACTTTACAAACATTTCTGAAAAAAAAGGTTGATATCAGTACTAGTGCTGACATGAAATTTGCAGCCCTAACACTGTATATCTTCTCAGTTGTTTTGTGCACGTACCATTAAACCTATATATTTTCTCCTTATAAATACAAAAATAAAATATAAAAGTTTCTCATGAACACAAGACTATGCAACTTTTGGAAACAATTAAGTTGTGTTTTTCATATTACATAAAACCAAGAGCACTGCCTCATGTGAAAGTATTCATCCCTATTTAAAATATCATGACCATGCACAGTTATTCATATGTATATGTGCAGGAGTACACATATAGACACTTGCACATTTAAGCATTTTTCTAGAAAAAAAAATCTTACTAGTAAAATTTATGCATCAAAAGTACTAAAAATTCTGGGCCCAGCATGATGGCCTAGTGGCTAAAGCCCTTGCCTTACACATGCCAGGAGTCCATGTGGATGCCGGTTCTAATCCCTGCAGGCCCACTTCCCTTCCAGCTCCCTGCTTGTGGCCTGGGAAAGTAGTCAAGGATGGCCCAAAGCCTTGGGACCCTGCACCCACCAGGGAGATCTGGAAAGAAGTTCCTGGCTCCTGGGTTTGGATCAACACAGCACCGGCCGTTGCCGCAACTTGGGGAGTGAATCATTGGACGAAGATCTTCCTCTCTGTCTCTCCTCCTCTCTGTATATCTGCCTTTCCAATAAAAATAAATAAATCTTAAAAAAAAGAGTACTAAAAAATCTGTGGACACAAAGGGCAAATAACTTTCCAACAGAGTAAAGGTGTCTAAGGTTCAAAATATTACTAATAATAACTATTAGCAACAAATGATAGCTAACTAATTGTAAAGAATTAATTCTATGTTAATGCAAATTTCTTATTACTGAAGTAGACTGTTTTCTCACATATGTATGAGTCTTTTCTGTTATGATCAGGCTTGATTTTAAAAGACAAATTTAGCTCTGGAAAATAGTGTTGTAGTAGCCTACATTTGCTGAGTGCTTACGAATATACCATACAATGCAGTAAATTTATTTTGCATCAAATCTTCAAAATTATTCATTGACGTGAAACATAGCATTAGCCCAACTTGTTGTTAACAAAGTAGAGGCCTAGAGAAGCTCAGTAACTTGCTCAAGATTACATCGCTGGAAGTGGCATAGACAAGGGTGTCCACTCCAAGCCCGTGTTCTCAATTACTACACAGTGCTTGCTTTCCATTGGCACCCTTCCAAGCAGTTCAGAAGTCATGAGTCATTTAGATAATCATCAAGATGAAGCCTGAAGTTTTGCATATGAATAGCATACAATGCAAGATAAAATAACTTCAAGATAGCTTTATGTTTTGTCTTGGTTTTGCTTTATATTGTTGTAAAACATCATTGAATTATGGCCTTTTCCCAAAATCGATTTTACATATCAAAATGTTCACCTAAAATGTTTATAAAGCTTTATTTAGGCTTCTTTCGAACCATTTTATGTAATATAATTTCATTAGAATGCATGGGTATTTTTGAATCTGAATGTAAAATAAGGTAATACAATAGTCTCTAAACAAATTATAACATAAAATAATTCAATAAATGGAAAGTACGCACAATAAATATGTGGTTGATCCTATAATATTAGTTTTGTGCTTCTTTCCTTTCAGCCTGACTGATGTAGATAATACCTACTTGCATTCTTTTTTTTTTTTTAAGATTTATTTATTTTTACTGGAAAATCAGGTATATAGCCAGAAGAGGCTCAGAGAGAAAGATCTTCCATCTGATGGTTTACTCCCCAAGAGGCCTAAAAACCAGAGCCAATCTGATCCAAAAGCAGAAGTCAGGAGCTTCTTCATTCTCTACTGCTTTCCCAGGCTACAAGCAGGGAGCTGATGGGAAGTGGAACAGCTGGGACATGAACAGGTGCCCACATGGAATGCTGGCACATGCAAGGTGAGGACTTTAGCTACTAGGGTATCGCGCTGGACTCTATGCTCACATTTTTTTTTTTGAATACATGCTTAGAGAATCCACACTCATGCTAAAATTTTTAAATTATATAATGTTTAATAGATATTGATTTAAAAATATAATATAAGTAACAAAATATAGCAGCACCTTATTTTTTACCATATGCACACTGTCAGATTCTGGATCAACAGGTTCTTGGGTAAATGATATTTGTAACATTAGGAATGAATTAGCATTAACACAATATTTACTCAATTAGTTATTGTTAGAGAATAGTGATTAAACCAGTTAGCTCAGTGAGAAAATTATGGTATCCATTTCCTTCACTCTAACTCCAGACCTTACACAAAATCTAAACAGGAAAAGTAAACTGTCTCTCTCCCTCTCTTACATACACACACACATACAGATTAGCTATAAATAAAGATAGATTTTTTTCTCTCAAGCGGTTTCATTTACAGAAAAATATTGAACAACCATGGGAAGCAGCATTCTAGTAGTTTTTAATGCATTACAATAATTCAAAACAAAATTGAAAGGTGTTGAATTTCAAGGCGAGTTTTGTATCATGCCAATTGCTTTTAACAGAATTCATTTTTTTCTTCTAGTATTCACCTTTCCTTGATTTAAATATATCCTCATGCAAATGAGAGCATTTTGCTATTTCTACTATATACTATGTGTCTGAGAAGGAAGTAGTGATTAATAATCTAATTTGCTCTCATAAAAGAAGTCTACAGCTTTCTAAATTCTTTTTTTTATTATATTTTTCACAATCTTTACATAGTTAATTGGGGTAAAAGGTTCAAGGGCTATAGGAAAGTAGGTAAGACTATTATTTCCATATTGTTTCCTTCATGTTTAAAGGGGGGTATTAAGGGAGAAGCACCACCCAATTTCCCACCCTCCCCAGGTTCTGCATGTAGGGTATGCTCTGAGGTTCTTGCTCAAGTGGTTTTGATAGTTCACCAGTCATGAATCGCTGCCAATCTTGCCACTCCAAGCACGATAAGGTCTTTGAAGAATCCACTGATTGACATAGTTCATCATAGAGTCTCCATTTGCCCTGTATTTCACTGCCAACATATAGCTGAGATGGTTGATTGACCTGTTCTGTCTTCTCTCTTTTCTTGGTTAGGGTTCTGAGTCCAGCATTTTGATTGGGGAGATCTCCAAAGAAACTTTGTCTGAGGTGTTCCCAGACCAGATTCTTGTATGTACTAGCAGGCACAGGGCCTGGCGCAGTCCATGGCCCCAATTAGCTGCTGGTTGCAATTGCTGGGTTGATTCTGTTTTCAGCCCTGACTTCCACTGGAACCAATGGGTGTTGCAGTCCAGCCTGGTTCTGCCCAGCACATACTCAGTCCTCACATAAACAAGTGGGAGCTGCAGCCTAGTTGAAGAGACCCACAATAACCCCCTCCAGGCCTACCCCCTGTCCTGGTTTGCCAGGGTGTAGCAGTAGTCCAGTCTGTCCCACACCCCATTCCACCCCAGCACCTGTCCTGGTTTTTGTGCCCTCCCATGGAAGTGGTAACCCAAGAGGGATGAGCCCACTATTTCCCTCCCAGGCCTCTCCCACTCCCAGATTATGCACTCTCCAGGTAGTTCTGTGGTTTGACTTGACAGAAGTAGCACCCAGTGCCAGCTTCTGCCAGCTGATGCTGTGGCTAAGCTCAAATAATCAGCCCAGCCTGGCTTTTCCCTGATCTAGTTCACATTAGGCATACAGGTGTTGTAGCCCTGCTTAGTGTGGTCTGCCCCCATCCCAGCTCAGGCTCTCCAGCGGGAGTAGCTGTCCAGCAAAGGAACTACCCCTTATTCCCCTGCCAGCTCCGCCCCCTCCCTTCCTGGTTCTCACATGTGCTGGTTGGGTGCTGTGGTCTCATCTGGTACAGGCAACCTCACCTTGGCATTCCGTATTGTGCACTAGTTTTTGTTGCAACCGAACCTGGCTCGACCCACACTGTTCTGGAGCTTGGATATGCTAGTGGATGATGTGAATAGATTCAGCCTGGTCTTCCCCCGACCCATGCCAGATGTATGCCCATGGGTAACTTTCCATGGTCTGCTCTGGGCTGTTTCCTATTGTGTTTCTTGCGTTTACCTGCCGGGTATGTGTCCTGCCAGAGGAGTTGCCCAGGCTCCTCCATCAGAACCTCTCCCAGTGCCAGATTTTGTGCATACCAGTGGGTCCATGAGCAATACTCAGTTTACCTCCTGTCTTAGCAGGAACAGTGGGTTTTCCTCACTGGCTTCCACCCAAACTGGTCCTTGTTGTTGGCTGTTTTAGCCCAACCATGGCTTGTCCGTACCCACATATGGCTCACACATGGCTCAGTAGAGGTTGAGACCTTGCCCAGTCCATCCCATATCTACTCTGGTCCTCCAGCACACCAGAGGGTGTTGGAGTCTGGCCCGGCTCGGTGCCTCCAATCCCAGTCCACATTTGTGCCCAGGGAGACTACAACTGTTTCCCGTGCAGAACACAGCCCCCTTTCCAGCCCACACGCCACTTGGTGGGAACCTCAACCCCGCTAGGGTTGTCCCCTTAGCTCCCCAACCGGGTCTGTTCCCAGCCATAGATCATGCGCATGCCAGTATTTGCTCTGACTCAGCTTGGCTTAGCCCCTCACCCGTCCCAACCTCTGCCTTAGACACTGGCTTAGTGTTCCTAGCTCATGCAGAGCAGTAGGTACAAGAGC